AATGAAAATATTAATTACGTTAGGGTGTGAATAGGTGAATACTACAAAATTAAAATTATCAATTAAAAGCAACAACGCACTTTTTAATTATTTCTAGATTATTAATCAAACAAGTCAATTTATCCTATGTTTGAATGCCACAATACTTAATAAAGTAATAAAGAACATAACACATGTTGACAGAGAAACCCAACTAGGTAAAAGCTCCAAAATCAAGTCAGTATCCTTTGCTATAGACAATGACGAACTTACAGTACGGTTTGGTCTAGAACATTCTACTAGACTCGCTAATCTACTTCCTACAATCTCCAAGACCCATTAGAATGTACTTCACTGACACCTATTCTTGATCTTCTAGAATTTTCTATCTTATTTGGCTCACCAAAAACGCATCGTTCTTGTATTTTTCCTGTGCTTTTGATCCAACCTTCCTCAATTCTTGAGCAACCTCCGAATGTTCTTGAGAAAGTACATTCCTGTATGTGTATAGAAAGTGGGTGTTTTGGATTTTATGTTTTTCCCAAAGTGTGGTTGTATAAACTCAACAATTAAAGGATCAATCTAAAGCTTGAATTTGTTTTTGAATTTTTGAATGATGATATGGAGAAGGAATACAACGAACAAGCACACCCTAATTTCGTGTTTGGGCAAGGGTATATATAGTAGAAGGTAATTAGGTATCATAGGTCGGATAAAACTCTTGAAAAACGTGAAGTAGGGTTTTACGCATAACACTGTCGCTTGAGTCATAGCTCGACGACAGGCGAGCGACAATCTGTCACTCGAGCGATAGTTGGACGATAGAGTTTCTGTTTTTGCCTCTCGAGCATGACATGGGTGATAGGCTAGTGTAAATCCGGTAGCTCTTTCCTCTTTGTTCCAAACTAGAACCCTAACTTACCTAACTAATATATACAATATTGCAACTTATTCCTTGACTTTTACAATTCTTTATTTTAGTCCTTTTGTTTAAAGAATTGCCAATATACTAAAATCCTAACAAACTCCCCATTTGACATTTTGTGACAAACCATATAATATAGGTCAAGTAAGTGAAATCAAACTAATGTACCCAAATCTAAACTGAATGTCCACCTCTTACATTCCTTGTTAAATCTGTTTCCTAAAATCATCAACTCAAATACCAAGTGCATAAGCACTTGATACAGGAAATATAACAGTTGAAACACATTATCATAAATATGCTAGCTAGATTGAGAAATAATACTAATATTAATCAAAACACCCATTGAAACATTAATATTACCATATATCAAAACTGAAATAAGCTATGCATTATGATATGGAATGCCACGAATAAAAAATACAATTTTCTTTTCCCCTTACACTCATCTCTCTAAAAATGCAGTTGATATGCAATGCTTTATCTTTTTCTCCCTCTTACTGCAAAGCTTTATATAAACTCTTTCCACTAAATGACTAAAGGCATTCTATCGTGTAACAATTTGAACATCAATAAATAATAACTCAAAGATACAGTTGATAGCATACATAAGCATAATTAATGATTAATAAACTTTTCCACATATTCAGTTCAAGCTAAAATGGAGTAAATTGTATAAGTGACTCATGTGTGTAAAGTGTCACTAATCTTTTTTAAGCAGGACTTCAAACCTTAATTTTTTGAGAAAAGACATGCTAAACATCACTGTCAATAAGATTATCCCTCTACTTACGACGTGTGGGGATTAGCAGAAGCTTTTCAATAAATAAGCTCATTTCAATCGAGGCATCGACCTACAGGGGACGATGTGTGGGAGATGGATGAAGCTTGGTTGTCTCTGAAGCGTGCTGCAATACGAAGTAGGTAATGATTTGAAAGCTCATGCATATTTCTAAGAAAAACAATTGGATGTGACGCCTATTCCCCATAAAAGGCTTCTGCTACTAATCATAGCAGACGGTTGTTTAGGCTCGAGGCGATGCGCCTTAAGGCTTATGGATGTCACCACTAGTTCTTGTGCGTTGATTAAATCTGACATCTGAAAGCCCTCGGTCCCCTCAATCAACTAAGTTCTTTCTCTCACGCCTATTTCTAGGAGGAGGAGGTTGTACCTCTTGCTTCTTTTGGACTACCATTGAATGGAGCAAACTCTGCTGCGTGGGTTCCGTCCTATTCGGTCGAAGACACTAATCGACCTCTGGGGCTCGTATTCAGGTGAAAAGTTATCTCCCAACTGAGAATCTGTAGCCTGTGTATTTGCGACATACGAGGAGATATCTATTCATACCTCCCTTTCAATGGGAGGTTCTCTTTGTCGTGGGTGAGCCCGACTGTGTGTAGGATGTTCCTGGGCCATGTGGGACCCTTCTGGCATCTGGAAGCCCTACTGACCTTGGGTCTGCTTGAGGAGCTCACGCATAGCCATATTTTGGGTCGCAATGTCCCTCATACTTGCAGCCATCTGAGCCACTTCTATAGTTAGCCTTACAGTCGTGCCACCGTTGTGTGACATTTGTTTGCAGCACCTCTTTTTCAGAGGCGTCTCTCGTTCTCCTTGGATTAACATCATCATTACTTGAGCTCATCTTAAATTTTAGAGTATTCAAATCACGTTGCTAGTTCTCACTTAGTTCTTTTCTCAAGAACGCCATTTTTCAAGGGAAAAACTTATCTGAATTTTTCGGCGATAAGTGGGAAATACCAATCTGAACGACTTTCCACAGACGACGTCAAACTGTTGACCCTGCAAGTCAGACTCTCCACATGGCCAGCGGAGAGCTACTCCACGTGTTCCTCCTTGCGCGTGGTAATAAATAATCAGGCGCATATGGTCCGCATACACTCCGACAATCAAGTTAGTTGATGGTGGTGGTAGCGACAGTGCCAAAATGCACAATACTCAAGGAGGAGGAAAATGTATATATGTATATTTTGCTTAAATGTGGAATGCTTACCTTTCTTTTGGCCGAGACCTTGGTAAATAGGCAAAGGGCACCGCTAGATACGTGACACATGTAGTAATTTGACGGTCCGAGGCGTCCAACGCATAGGCGTCCATCAATCACTTCTTAGGTTGGCGGGTAATTATTTCTGCTGAATTTGAGTTGACATATTGCAGACACGTCACATCAATCATTTCCCAAAATATAAAAAGAAATCTTGGTAAAAAGATCTCTGAAATTGACGATGGAGAGGCGGTATTATTTTCCTTCGCAAGGCCACGCTTTGGAAGTGACGCCTCCGTCCTGTACCACTTCGATTGAGTCGTGTATGCCTAGGCTGGTTGCTTCAGCTAGCCGAGGCGTAACAGTGACGCCTCAGTCCTGTATCACTTCAATCTCGGCTAGTTGAGAGGCGTAACAATGTGTTTCCTCGACTTCTTGTCTTGGGCCCAATCTAGTTGGAAACTTATTATTTTGCAACTTTGTCGGCATTAAGATATCCCCGTTAAATTGTCTTCTTGATAGACTTGAACTCTCTCCCTAGTCTTCACTTCTTAGTGTAATTCAATGATTTTTAGATCAAAATTGAGAGAAACTTGTATAGTATTGGGTTATTATCAATTATTGTAGAGGAACATTGGTTTTACCTTGAGAATGTTTCGATTCAGGGCTAGAATTTTGATAGCAGTTTGTTCTTGTGGAATTGTATCGCATCAGAGATTAGTTCTTTGAGCTTTGGTGTAATGTTACGTAAAAGCGAGAACAAGCAGAAAAATGAGAACAAGAATACACTAATTTACGTGAAAATCCAAGATGAAAAAAAGTACGGGCAAAAAAGTAGAAATCCACTATATCAAAGATGAGTACAAGAATCGGTGTTTTGATGGCTGCACCAAATTATAATACAATGAAATTCTAATATACATTGTCGTAAAGACCTTAAAAAATTCTCATAATGGTAGCTATCGTTGCCTTTAAAAAGGCAGCTGTGCCAACTGCTTTAAATTTAAAGCTGCCTTTTTAAAAAAGTAGAATTGAAAAAAAATAAAAAAAAATTAGCCAGCTTGGCTCGACTCAAAGAGGCCCGAGTCGAACCCTATTTTTGGGCAGAGTTTTGGCTCGAGTCGAACCAGAAAAACCTCGATTTATTTTTGCACAAACCTTCTTCAAGCCGTGAACTTCGACTCGCGACTCACTTAGCTCGTTTACATCCTTACTCCCAACCCCAATTCATTGGGTTATGCTTTCAGCTGTGTATAAAATATATGTCATGCAAATGGTCGAATCTAGACATACCCAAATATCCTTAATTGAAATGGATAAAGACATCAAATGCAATGATAAAATCTTTTGGCTCCAGATGGAAAAGCCTTGACTTTGTGCATGGGGAAAAATGGTGGACTGAAATGCCTTAAGCCCTATTTGACGCAGATTAAAATTAAATTAAAATTTTAAATTACAATATCAACAATTAATTTTAATCACATATGGGATTCACAACTTTTTTATTACATATTTCATCTATCAAAATCTACTAAAAATTTGATTTTAATATGCGCCAAACAAGGGCTAAATTTGAAATTGAATTTTTTTTCGTGCAATACAATTTGTTTGATGAGTTCTTCGCATATACAATATCATTGTTGAAAAATTGCAATAGGAAACTGTTATGAACAATATATATTTACTTGCAATTGGAGGATTTCCGCAGCGAATTGCATTCTATCAACGAAGGAGTCCCTCAAAGAGTAAAGTCTTTGAGCAATACAGGTAATAGAGAGAGAAAGTATTGCTTTCTCCTAAGGGTTTTCTATTTAGTTTCTCCCAATTAATTAATAATTGTTATCTCCTATAGTTAGAGAGATTGTAATTCTCCTATTATAATAGAATTCCTTTACCCGTGATTTTACCCCAAAACGAACTTTCTTGTGCTGATATTAAGAGAGCTTGAAGTTAGAAAACAGTAATAAAATAACTAGAAAAGCATTGGTGGATATCAAACTTCTACAACGAAGTAACGAATAAAACTGTTGCAACCATCTTACAAAAGGAAAAAGAGAAAGGCCCAAAAATATTGTAAAAAAACATTGAGATCATGTCGAGTGGCCTTACAGTCTCCTCAAATTTCTCAGACTTCCCAAGTTTTGTGGAATATTTCCTTCGAGCTGATTATCTTCCAAAGTCCTACAATACAGTTCACACCATAAGCACAGCTGGTATAGTTGCTTCCTCAGATATTATATACTATAATACCATATTTATCACTCACAGCTCTTCCAAAGTGCTAATATCACCAAGTTCATTCGGAATTGTGCCATTGATACGGTTTCCAAGAAGTGACCTGATATGAAGATGATAGCGAATATATTCATCCACTCTATATAGGTAGGTAGGAACAGGAGTTTGGAGGTCCCATTAAGAAGAACTTACAAAGTAAGAAGAGGAAGCCGACCGAAGATTGGAGGAATTGATCCATAGATATAATTGTGAGTTAGATCTCTGGGATGATAAAGAAGTCATGTAAGTGTTCTGCTTTAGATGAAAAATGAGGGAAAAAGACAGAATAGAAAATATTAGCTCAATGCAACTGCTTTAATTTCAGAAGCAAAAATAGACTCGTATCGAACTATACCTTCTATTAAATTAACAAACGAAAGTAAATGACTGGCATACATATTCGATCAACTCAATAGAGTACCCAAAATAACAATGTTGCTACTTACAACTCTTTTAGATAAGTAAGATTCGCAAATTCTGCAGGCAAGATTCCAGTCAAATTGAAACCCTTCATCTGGCTGTACATACAAAGTGGAGTTGAATTTGAAACATGACTTAAATAAATAACAATTTCTTAATGAATAATGACCGTGTTAATCATCTCAATTCACCATAAGAACACCCCCGTTGAGGGTAAAATGAGAGAAGAAAACAAAACATTAGGTACATTTCGACTCCCTGGGCTATATGGAAGAGGCTCTTTATATCTATTTCATAACCATTGTATTTCTTCTTAAAACTCTCAATGCAAAATATGGAGGCCATAAATACAACAAAGTCAATTAAATTTTAAGCCTAGCCAAACATATGTCTAAGCTTAGAAGTTTTTTTAAGCAACTATTTTTTTCAAACACATTGGCTTGTTCATTCACAAATTTACTTTTCTTAAAAAAGTAATTTTACGTTTCTCTTTAGATCTCACTTCGTGCTCTTGCTTCCTCCTTCCCCATCTCTGAGGCTTAGGTGGAGGAATGGAGCATGTGGAAGGATACCAGTGGCTGTATACAATCCAAGGATCCGCGTGAAGATTGGCCAAACATGCTTTATGCATATGGGGTTAAAACTAATTTTTTGTTATTAATCAAAGATTTTAATTTTTTTCTGTCAATATTGTCCACTACTATCACATCCACCTTACCAAATTGCCATAAATGTACAATCACAAAAACTTTGAACGAAAAAAGAGTAAGAGCATACATGTGCGTCACATGGCAAACAGTCTTGTTAACAAATGAACAGTCACAAGTCACATTGCTGTAGACATCGTCACCCCAAATGGTCATGTTAAAACCGGTACTCTCACTGCAAGATCTTCGCGTAACATTCCAGTATTTGTTTTGTAATCTCGATGATATTCTTTCAAGAACTTGTACTGTCAAAGCATAAAAGCAACCATAGAATATATGAGAAATCAAACAAAATCTGTTTTTCTTCTAAATAACTGTACTGAAATACAGTTCTTTATCTTATCTTAACAGAAATCCTTGAATGAAAAGTTGAATAAATAAATAAATAATAAAAAATCCATTATTGCAAAATAAACGCCATGGGAAGTCCATCTCTTTCTTATCTTTTTCATATTATACTTATACTAACATAATTAAGAAGTACCAGAAATACCCGATAGGCTATCAATTCAATGAATAGGAAAAATATCAAGCAAAAGAATACCCAGATTAACTTCCAGATTGAATAGGCAGTTACAGTAATACAGAAATGCATGAATCACAGTAAAAAAAAAAAAAAAAAAAAAAGGGAAAACCTTCAATTCTTGCTTAATTATCTTAACAGAAACACAGAGACGTTGCTTAATGAAGGTGAGCTACCTTCGTTTTCAGGCAGAAGTTGTGCAACAGACGTCAAAACAAGAGATGCATAAACACTGAAAATAACGATTTTCACAAAATTTGTTCTGGTTTTAGCCCTTTTGGTAAGAAAAAACTCCATTAAAACTCTTATTCTGTTCAATCCAGCCAAAGAAATTTCATGACACCCCCATTATATTAATTAATGAAGACGAAGATTAATCAAAAGTTGAAAAAGGAAAAAGAAGAAAAGTTGGTTTTGCTTGAGAGTTTCCAAAAAGTGAACAGAAGAAAGTATCGTCGAACTCCAATAATGCTGTTGGTTTTGGAATGGAAAATGCAGAAAGAACAGAAAAATTATGAGTTATTAGTATTAACATGAGACAAAAATCAGAAAAATACTTTTTACTTATTGAAAAATTCAAAATATTTTTAAATTTTAGAGATTCGACTCTTCTACATGTCAGACTTCAATTTCTTTATGTGAAATCATTATGCTGCTGCATGTTTTGGACTTTTGACACGTATATGTACGATGCACATGGAGGCCGCACTCTCCATCTAAAAAATATAGAAGCCATCAAATATTTGTTGGATTGTCACCCGCGCGAATAGTATGTACATGCTGGAAAATTAGTTGCGGATACTTGTTGAGAACAACAATTTTAATGAATAGAGTAAGAAAATTTATTACGATGCTTATCACAGTACGGTGTTCTAAAGTAAAATTGTTTGTGAACTGCAGTGCCCCTTTGAACAATTACTTCCATGATACAATTATCGAATTAATTCTATTGCAATTACAAGCGATTTTTAGAACTCTTAAATTTTGCTATAGAAAAAATAAATGTAAAATAATTCTTAAATCGATTTTGCATAGAAGTACATAAGACGAAATGTTTTCAATGTCTTTTTTCCAAGAAAAAGAGAGGTATATACAATCCACAAATTATAACTTCCAATAATAATTCGTAATGTAATAAAATAAAACCCTTGGTTTTATTATTTTACTGATTTTGGAGATTGTATAATGCTTACTTTGAAACTTTCCGTTTATACAGTAGTGATCCTTTTCTTTACTTTTCTTTTTTTTTTTTTCCTTTTTTTTTTTCTATCTTCATATTTGGATTTCTATCTAATGATCTAGGACGTAATCCTAGACATGAAGAATAAAATTCAAAGTGTTTTTCTTGGTTAAATTTTAAGTTTGCTTAGGATTCTATTAATTCCACATGTTTAACTAAAATTTCCAAAATTTGAAAAAAAGAAATAAATAAATCATGTCATCAACTGAATGTTAGACCAATTAATGTGGTCCCGCGTAATATTATAAATAAATTAATATTTGGTCTATATATATTAAAAATCTGATTGGTCATTGAGAAGTGACAGTTTTGTAACTGTCCACTTTGATGGAAAGTGGGTAGTTTTGGCCTAAAAGAAAACTGCCTCTCTTTGCCTTTTTAACGTGAATGAAAAACCATCAATAAGAACATTCAAGAACAGTTTTATTTATTCTCACTGATTTCTCTTTTACAGATTTAATAAATTCCAATTTTCTTCATGGATCAAGGTATGTTACTTGATCAAATTACTCATACGTGAAAATCATAGAATTCCAAGATCTTGGCATTAAAGTATGAATTAATTGCTTACATGTGGTATCAGAGCCCAAGTTATGGAATTCATGATTTTTCGTTAAAGATTAATGTTTTACATTCATAGATCTTTAATTTTTCGTATCGATTTATGGATCAATGCGTAAAATAAGAATGACAGATTCCGCTGCAAATATGTTTCTGTTTTCTGATTGACTGCTGTTAAAATAATAAATGGATCTTTGATTTTTTACTGCACCGATATTAATCTGTGAAAAGAGCAGTCCCTGTTTCATCAGAAAAATTACACATCAATTGCATTTATTATTGTTTCACGTATTATGTAAATTAACGGATGGGATGACTTCCGTAGAAAACATTATTAATTCTGTCAAACCTGATGAATTATTATTGGTTGAAGAAAAGTTGATTTCTTGGTTTTCACAATGAAAAGTGGATCTGCC